TAAACCTAAAAAAATTCAAAATATTTATTTTCACTATTTTTCTGAAATAAAAATATTCTCTGAATATTCTGCCCCAACCCAGGTAGTTTAGTAAATGGGCGCAGGCAAACCTCTACTGCATTGCCTGGAAGATACCCACGGCACTGCTCGACACTTTCGCTACCTGGCAACAGACCGTCATAAAGCAATTTGACTTTCCACCAAACTTCATAAGTACATACTGCCAGTGGGTCAAATATTTTCATGTAACTTTGCATTACTTATGCCGCCCAGCGAAATGTTTCTCAGAATCGGGAAAAATTCCCTTAGTCTTTCCATAGAGTCAACCATCGTTTCCATTTCCGGGCAAAGTGAAATTTGGAAATCTACGGTGCCTGAGCCACACTAATATATACATGCATTTTCAGGACATCAACACTGAATGCGATTTAGGGGGAAAAAATAATGAAATTTCAGATTTCAGAAAAAATTCATTGGAATTTCAAATAATTTCAGGAATTTTCGTCTTTGTTGTAGTTAAAATTCTGGAATTTCACTGAATTTTCAGTGAAACCTGAAATTTCATTTTTTCCTCTAACAGAGTAGGGATCTGATGAGAAAATTTATTAGTTTTGGATAGCATTCTTCCCCAAAATCAATGTTCATTATTCAAAATAATGTTAAAACCATTATGCTCCTCCTATTTTTAGGCCTGCAACGCAGTTATATCATTGGTTACGTGGATGATTCACTATACCAGTATAAGTGATGAATTGACAAGGTGATTTTACTAATTATAGCAATTAATGTCAAAAAAAAAATTTTTTCATGCAAAAAAATTTTTTTTCACATCTCCATATCGATATCACGTTTCAAAATGTCCCGAAAAAATTGGGGATTATTATTATTTATCAAGAAAAAAGAGAATCAATTGATTTTCGACTGGCCCCTGTGTAACAGTGGAATTTGAAAAATGAAAACCTCTGAAAAAGGGTCATTACTCGTCCTCACAGTACTGGCGTATTTTTACCGAATAGTACATGATACAACAAAAAAAATCGTTTTTTACTCATTAAAATCCGTGAATTAGTTCGCGAGATATGATTTTTCAAAAATTTGAGTTTTTGACACATGTTGTAGACAACCAATTGATGTTGAAGGAACAAAACTTACGTAAAGCATGTACTTACGTAGTACCTGACTGTGAGCATGTCAATTCAGAATTTTGAGAATCAAAAATATTCAGGGTGGCTGAGTTGACATGGAATGTCCCATATCTCTATTTTTTTTTCGAAATATTAGTTTCAAAATAATAACGGTAAAATATTCCTTGTGATAATATCTATCAAATCAAATGACAATATTCCTGTGTAACTACACGTATGAAAAAATCGTATAGAAATTTTCTATACGGATTGCGTATAGAATTTCTATGAGATTTTCGTATATGATATTCGGATATTTCTATACGGATATTTTTTATACAAATTATTTCTATACGATTTCTATAAGTTTGATCCTATCCAACCCACTTTCTCATGTATAGAAACATTTCGTTAGGAGTTGCGACATTTCTCTACGTTTTTCTCTGGAGCGTTTAGATATTTTTTGTATGAAAACAAAAGTTCATGTAAATATTCATGTATAGAAATAATTCTTATAGAAAATATTCGTATAGAAATATCCGAATATCATATACGGTAATCCTATAGAATTCTTATACACAATCCGTATAGAAAGTTCCTCCCATACGATTTTTTCATACGTGTAGAGAAAAAGGAAACCAATTTTTTGGAAATTCAGGTTAAAAAGTTTTATAAACACGTTCTCAGAGAATGGTAAATCTTCACGTTTTGCATGGTACTAAAAACTAGTGGTTACCAGATAATGAGATGTTTCTGATGTTTTGGATGTTTCGGCTCAAAATGTCAACAAATTGAAAATTCCTTGTTAAAAAATTAAAAAAATTGTTTCGAAAAGTTAGGCTTGGTTGACTCGAAATCATCTGAAATTTGGACATTTCCTATTGGGATCTCTGACGAAGGCGTGGTTTAATATAAAGCCGTCTCGTGGCGAAATAGAGAACTAGCACGGGCAGGTCGAACGGCCAGATGCACACAGAGCTACACGCTAGCTCTCATTTTTATTTTATTCTATTCATGAGATTTGTAAATTTTTTGATACACATCCGAGAGCCAAGAATTTTCGTGGTAGAGAAGATTTACAAAAAATTCTCTCCACAATTCCGGTTGTTTGTGGGTGATTGAGGAGGCAGATTGAGTGAAGGAACATTCGTTCTCTTCAGGTGAGTAATTACTGAATTGTCGTGTTGAGCTCTGGCTCTAATTCAAGAAATCAGTAATAGAGTGTCCCATAGCATGTGACCAAAGTAAATTGCGTAGAATACCGCAAGGTGGCAGTGCAGTCTAAAGTCTAATATATGGTTGAAGTGGAGACTCTCCGCAAATTTCATTCATGCTTCAATCGCTCGGGAATTGGAGCACTAAAATGGAAAATTTAGCCATCGAATAAAAATCATTCCTCATCAAATCATATTACCGAAAAGGAGATTCAGCTACGGCAGCTATAAGAGCATTTCGTTCTAAGTATGGCACATACACTGGAGTGTCTGATTCGAGTCTCAAACGGTAAATAAAGTGAATGAACTAACTAACCAAAAAATTTTGTTTTCTTCTTTTGTTGAAAATTAACGCATTTTCCGATCAATTATGGGTATTTTCGCGATAATTAAGAAATTTGATCAGTACGGTACACTAAACGATAGAAGGCATGAGCATCCTGGTCCTTCATGTACTGTAACTACGGATGAAGTTGTCCGCACAACTGAAGAACATTTCAAAAAATATCCAAATGATCCTGTTCGAAAGGCTACTCCAACTTTGAAAGTCTTAAAAACTTCACTTCACCGCATCTTGACAGTGTTTTTAAACTTCCATCCCTACAAAATTCCTGTACATCAATTTTTAAGTGAGGAGGGGATGGCTCGCCGTTTACAATTTTGCCAAGAACTTCACAATTTTTTTGAATCCAAGGAAATGAAGGCACAGAATATCATCTTCTCGAACGAAGCACATTTCTACTTAGGTGGCTTAGTAAATAAACAAAATTTTCACTTTTGGGGGACTGAGTCACCTCACGTTATTGAAACCAAGTCCTCACACCCGAAAAAAGTCACTACATATGCGGCAATTACAATAAAAAGTATTTTCCTTGAATTTATTGAGAGTCCGACAATCAGTGCTGATATTTACTGTGAGTTCTTAGAGAAGAACTTCTTTCCTTGGGCACAAAAAAATTTGTTACTCAAGAATTTCTATTTTTTCCGTTTACGGCACTCGTGTGTTAGGCTTAGGTTACCCGAAGTATGCCCATGGGAGCATGGAATGGCCGCCTTACAGTCCGGACTTAAATCCCTGCGATTTTTGCCTATGGGGTTTCCTCAAGGACAAGTGCTATGAGAAGCATCTGACGACGGTGTGAGAGTTGCAAGACGCAATTAGGGATGCTATCCGAGTTGTTGATAAAAACACAATACAGCGCATCTATACCAGTTTCGAACGCAGGGTAGAATTCTGCAGTACAAGTGATGGCGGACACTTGGAAGGAATTGTAATTTGCTGAATGTTCCTTGTACAATAAAAAAGAACAATTATTTACATTTTACTGTATCGAAGTTATTTCCCATTTACATTGGTCACATGCTCTGGGACACCCTGTAGATCAGATATTTGAAGAAGTCCCGTAAGATTTTTCATGATCAGTTTTACCCTTAATTATGTATTGAAGCACAAAGTTACCATGTTTTTTCTGAAAATTCGCCTCATACACGGTACACGGCCCGGAGTTTCGGAAAAAAAATTATAAAATCCAACTACTTATGATATTTTTGGCGGATATTTTCATTGATAGGGCTTCTAGACACTTCAAAATGAGATGTCAAATTGTTTTTAAAAATTCTGAGGCTTCACTGCAATGTAATTTAAAAAATCGGAAAAAGTGCGTCGCGGGGCTCGTAGCGTGACCAACGGTTAAGAGGAAAAAATGAAGGGTCACAAGGGTCAAAACAAGGGTTGTGAGCAACTGTTAAGAGCAAAAAATGAAGGGACACAAGGGTCTAAATAAGGGTTATGAGGAACGGTTAAGAGTAAAAAATGAAGGATCACAAGGGTCAGAATAAGGGTCACGAGGGTCAGATTAAGGATCACAAAGGTCAGACCAAAGGTCCAATTAAGGATCATGTTGGTCAGAAACTAAGGATCATAAGGGTCAAAATAAGGGTCCCTAACATCTCTCTATATTATAAAAATCCAAACGACTTCTGGTGATGAAAATTTGGTACTCAAAATTAATAGTCAAAAATTAACAGTTAAAAACTAAGGGTCATAAGGGTCAAAGGAAGGGTCGCGTAGGTTATAATGAGAGTGAGAATAAGGGTGACGAGGGTTGGATTACGAGTCATGGGAGTTAAAATCAGGGTTACCAGATTTTGGCGATTGATAGCCAAAATCTGGACAATTTTAAATGCGGTGACGTCCCGATCTGGTAACACTGGTCAAAATAAGGGTCATGGGGGTCATATATGTCATATAAAGGCTTTTTCTCAACATGGCGCAGCCAAAAAATGAAAGTTTTCTTCGAGATATTCTATGGAAAGACATGAAATAAAAGATGATGATTTTCTTCAAAGCTGGATCTTCATCTAATCATGTTAAAAGGAATTTTGGAAAAGCGAATCTTTTTGTTTCAATGGAAATTATTGTAAAACAATAAATAAATAAATATCATATAAATGTTGATATATTTCTGATTTTTAAGAATTTTTTCAGATTTTTAGAACACTTTGATAGCTTAAAGACGAGAAATAATAAAAAGATTTATTTTGCGATAAAACCAGCAGAAATGCAAATAAAAATTTGAAAATTTGTATGCAGGCATATTTCATGATGATAAACAACAGGAAAAACTTATTCCACTAGACTCTTTGATATCCATTATTCTAGATGTACAGATGCCTGTATGTTGTTACCTTGATGGCTATGTTCTGGGTAACAGAAGTTCTTCCATTACCAATTACCGGCATGATTCCAGTAGTGCTTTACCCATTAATGGGCATTCTGAGTACATCGAAGACGGCAGATTGTTATATGAATGACACAACAATGATGTTTCTCGGCAGCCTTGTTATCGCAGTAGTTATCGAAAATTCAGGACTTCACATGCGGGTGGCATTGTTAATCATCAGGACTATCGGCTGTAGTCACAGAAAGTAAGTTTACCTCAGTGGAAAATGACAACCATTATAGCTTACAAATTGTTAAAGAATCTAAATTCCTCAGATTGAGTTTGGGACTTTTCTGTGTAACTATGTTCATCTCCATGTGGATCTCAAATACAGCTGCGACTGCTATGATGATGCCTATCATGGAGACAGTTCTAGTCGAACTTGAAACGGTAAAATAACAGATGAGTCATAATGAGAATACTTATTAATATAGAAATGCCAACTCCTCAGCCATATACGGTCATCCAAGCGGTTTTAATACAAAGTCAAATTAATAACAATTAGAAGATCCAAAACGAAAACCTTCCATTTCTGTCGACGTTTCGGACCCACAAGGTGTCCTTCATCAGGGCAATAATTTATTCTTAATAATCTATCAGTTGTTCATGGAATCTTGACAGAATAATCATAACATAAGAAAAACAAAAACTGACAGACGATAAAAACCCATCAGTGCCCTCCATAACCAAAGCCATGCTGTTCCGAATACTTATTATTGGATGACCAGTCTTTGGCGAAATTCCTACGTTCCTTCCGAACATAAATACTCATAGAAAATTTTTTTCTGGCCATTCCAAAAATTTCTGTGAGGTAGACCAAGGACTTCGTCCTTCATTTACGAATAATGTTTTTAAATTAGAAAAATTAATTATGAGAAAATTCTCTGTATAGCAATTGAGTGTGTCTAAACTTATCGAGATTTAGAAAACTCAATTTTTAATATTTATGTTCCAAAATTGTCTTTGATCCACGGTTATAGTGGGCTCCCAGCGTGGTTTGTGACAATCATCAAAAAATTGCAAGCGGCTGTACCTTGCATACAGCTGTAATTATACTCAAATTTCCTAGAAACTCCTTGCATTCCCTCGAATTTTCTGCCAACTCTTTGCACTCTCTCGAATTAGCCCCCCAAAGTTAGGCAGCCAAGGTTATCGGATCAAAAAGGCGATTATGCCAAAATTATCTGCTTTAATTCTGCGCAAACCAAAAAAAAATCTGCTTCTTTTTTTTGCGAAAAAAATCGATTTTAAGAAATTGGCCGTCAAGCTAGGCGGCCAACTTCCATAAATGAGGTCGATGAGTAGAAAAAAGTAATATTTCATTTTTCAGCTCCATTTCTGCGCCAAAACAAATTTAATGTAATGATTTTTTCAAAAAAATGGAAATTTAATAGGTGAGGTCAAAACCGAGTGACCCGAAAGTTCATTGAAAATAGTAATAAGAAATGCGAGAATTATCTGCTTATTATCTGCATCATTTCTGTGCAAACAAGGGAAATTCGGCTCCTGTAGTTCCGCGGAAAAAAAACTTCTATAAATTGGCCGTTAAGCTAGGTAGTCAAATGGCACAATCGAAATCGATAAGTGGTAAAAAGTAACGGTCTATTAATCTGCTCAATTTCTGCGAGAACCAAAATCGAAATCAATAAGTACCCCTAAAATTTTCTCGAGAAATGTTTGAAGAGAGTGAGAAATTCCTAATGAATGTTAGATGTGAGCAGATAATTCTTGATGAGCCGTGGAAAGGAACAGAATTTTTGAATGAATGTAGGAACGGAGCAGAAAATTCATAATCAGTATTAGAAAAGAGTAAAAATTGATTAATCAAGGTTGAACAAGAGCACAAAATTATTGAGTGTTGAATGAGAGCAGATAATTCCTGATGAATTTGAGACAGGAGTAGAATTTTTTAATCAATGTTGGACAAGAGCAGAAAACTCCTGAGTGTTACATGCAAGCAGAAAATTCCTCATGAGTTTTAGGGAGGAGCAGAAACTTTTTAATCAATGTAGGAGCGGAGCAGAAAATTCATAAGTAATAGAGAAGAGCAAAATTTTTAATGTGCCGATATATTTCTTTGCCGATAAATCGTACTCATAATCGGCATGAATATCGGTTGAATGAGGGCAGATAATTCCGGATGAGTTTGAGAGAGGGTTAGAATATTTGAAATCAATATCGGATGAGAGTAGAAAATTCCTAACGAGTGTTAAATGAGAGCAGATTATTCCTAATGTTAAATGAGAGCGGATAATTTTTGATGAGTTTAAGAGAAGAGTAGATAATTTCTGATAAATTGTAGAGAGGAGCAGAATTTTTTTAATGAATGGAGGAACAGAGCAGAAAATTCATGCTTATTCACATTAGTGTTCGATGAGAGTCGAAAATTCCTAATGAGTACAGATAATTCCTAATGAGTGTTAAATGGGAGCAGATCATTCCCGATCAGTTTAAGAGAAGAGTAGAACTTTTTTTATCAGTGTTGGACGAAAGCAGAAAATTTCTCATAGGTGTTAGATGCGAGCAAATATTTCCTAATGAGTTTTAAATGATAGCACATAATTTCGGATGCGTTTTAGAGAGGGGTAGAATTTGTCCGATTAATGTTGGACGAGAGCAGAAAAATTCTAAAGAGTGTTAGATGTGAGCAGATAATTCCTGATGAGTTTTAGAGAGGAGCAGAAATTTATTAATAAAGGAAGGAGAATAGAGAAGAGCAGAAAACTTCTAATGACTGTTGAATGTGAGCAGATAATTCCGGGTGAGTTTGAGAGGTTAGAATTTATTTGATTAATTTTGGATGAGAGTAGAAAATTCCTAATGAGTGTTGAATGAGAGCACATAATTCATGATGAGGTTGAGAAAGGAGTAGAATCCGTTAGATTAATGTTGAAGAAGAGCAGAAAAATTCTAATGAGCGTTAAATATGAGCAGATAATTCTGGATGAATTTTCGAGAGGAGCAGAATTTTTTTAATGAATGTAGGAGCAGAGCAGAAAATTTACAAAAAAGTATTAGAGAAGAGCATAAATTTTTTAATTGAGGTTGTCCAAAAGCTGAAAATTCCTAATGAGTGTTAAATAAGAGCCGATAATTCATGGTGAGGTTGAGAAAGGAGTAGAATCTGTTAGATTAATGCTGAACAAGAGCAGAAAAATTCTAATGAACGTTAAATATGAGCAGATAATTCTTGATGAGTTTTTGAGAGGAGCTAAATTTTTTTAATGAATGTAGGAATCAGAGCAGAATATTCACAAAAACTATTAGAGAAGAGCATAAATTTTTAAATCGAGGTTGTCCAAAAGCCGAAAATTCCTAATGAGTGTTGAAGAAGAGCAGATCATTCCCGCCAAGTTTGAGAGAGAGGTAGAATTTTTTTAGTCAATCTTGGACGAAAGTAGAAAATTCCTAATGAGTGTTAGATGGGAGCAAATAATTCCTTATTAGTTTTAGAGAGGAGCAGAATTTTTTAATGAACGTAGGAGCGGAGCAGAAAATTCATAATAAGTGTTAGAAAAGCACAGAAATTTTTTAATCAGGGTTGAACGAGAGCAGAAAATTTCGAATGAGTGTTAGATTTAAGAAGATAATTCCTAATGAGTATTAAATGAGAGCAGATAATTCTTGATGACTTTAAGAATAGGGGTAGAATTTTTTTATCAATGTTGGACGAGAGTCGAAAATTCCTAACGAGTGTTAATTGAGAACAGATAATTCCTAATGCATGTTAAATGAGAGCAGATAATTCCTGATCAGTTTAAGAGAAGAGTAGAACTTTTTTTATCAGTGTTGGACGAAAGCAGAAAATTTCTCATGAGTGTAGATGTGAGCAAATATTTCTTAATGAGTGTTAGATGATAGCAGATAATTTCGGATGCGTTTTAGAGAGGAGTAGAATTTTTCCGATTAGGAATTATTATTAGGAATTATTATTTACTCATATCTAACACTCATGAGGAATTTTCTGCTCTCATCTCACACTGATGAAAAAAAGTCTACTCTTCCTATAAACTGATCAGGAATTATCTGCTCTCATTCAATACTTATTAGGAATTATCTGCTCTCATTGAACACTCATTAAGAATTTTTTGCTTTCGTTCAACCTTGATTAAAAAATTTGTTCTTCTCTAATACTTATTATGAATTTTCTGCTCCGCTCCTACATTCATTAAGGGGAAACGATGCCCCTCGCATGTGTTGAATTTTAGAAACGTCCTCGTGTTAATAGTTACTAATTTTTCGAAATCAAAAAACTTCAGGCACTGCACAATATAGTAATGGAGTGATTAAAGTTTTTTGGTTTCGAAAAGTTAATAACTATAGACACGAGGACGTTTCTAAAATTCAACACATACAAGGGGTACCGCTACCCCTTAAACAATATCTGCTCCTCTCTAAAAATCATCAGGAATTATCTGTTATCATTTAACACTCATTAAGAATTTTCTGGTCTCGTTCAATCATGATTAAAAAATTTCTGTTCCACTCTACACCTCATCAGGAATTATCTGCTCTCCTCTATCAATCATTAGGAATTGTCTGCTCTCATTTAACCTTCATTAAAAAAATTCTACCTCTCTCTCAAACTCATCAGGAATTACCTGCTCTCTTTTGACACTCATTAGGATTTTTGTGCTCTCCTCCAACATTATACAAACAAAATCTACCCCTCCCTAAAATTCATCAGGAATTATCTGCTCTCATCTATCACTCATTAGGAGTTATCTACTCTCGTCCAACATTAATCGGACAAATTCCATCCCTCTCTAAAACGCATCCGAAATTATCTGCTACTATCTAACACTCATTAAGAAATATTTGCTCACATCTAACACTCATGAGAAATTTTCTGCTTTCGTCCAACACTGATAAAAAAGTTCTACTCTTCTCTTAAACTGATCAGGAATTATCTGCTCTCATTTAACACTAATTAGGCATTATCTGTTCTCATTTAACACTCGTTAGGAATTTTCGGCTCTCGTCCAAGATTGATAAAAAAATTCTACCCTTCTCTTAAAGTCATCAAGAATTATCTGCTCTCATTTAATACTCATTAGGAATTATCTTCTTAAATCTAACACTCATTCGAAATTTTCTGCTCTCGTTCAACCCTGATTAAAAAATTTCTGTTCTTTTCTAACACTTATTATGAATTTTCTGCTCCGCTCCTACATTCATTAAAAGATCCTGCTCCTCTCTAAAACACATAAGGAATTATTTGCTCCCATCTAACACTCATCAGGAATTTTTTACTCTCGTCCAAGATTGACTAAAAAAATTCTGCCTCTCTCTCAAACTGAGCGGGAATTATCTGCTCTCCTTCAACACTCATTAGGAATTTTCTTCTGTCATTCAACCTTGATTTAAAAAATTCTATTCCTTTCTCAAAC